GCACACACAGGATCGTTTATTGTATTTTACAATTTTAGGTATAACCAGTATAACTATTTCGATTAGATATTTTGTATCCTATAATGAACTGGTAAACTTTTATTGAAGCGAATTTTTTAACACTTGAAATATTCGTATGTCACGTTACAAAAATTAACCATTTTGGATCTGTTTGCCAAAAGTCTCAAGTCTACTACCACTTCAATGGTGTATCAAATGAATGATTTATTTCGGGATACCACGTAGCATTCGGTATTCTCAACGATTTCATTTCGTAATTCTATTTCGAGTCGATACGTTGATGTTTGTTTTAGATTTTTATATCTGCAACACTGCAATGTCATCTCTATTTTTCTACCTTCATCTACACCAATGTATTGTTTATACCTGCATTCTATCACGCTACAAGGTTATATAGAGGTTCTTTTTTGTTCGAGTAAACACGAATAAGCTACATTCTTATTAAGAAACTAGTAGTGCCCTCGGCTTTTGATGCCGCCATTTCAAAGTGCCATGTGCCTCCGTAATCTGTAATCTCTACCTCGGTAATTATTAATATCTAGAGCTGTTATTACCGGGGTATTTTGGTAACATTCTCACGAAATTGACAGACATTGTGCAGTCTATATTGATTTCGGTTATGTTCATGGCCATTTAAAAATAGCAGCCGTAAACAACGACTTCATTATGAATATATTACAATAACAGTAAAGGTATTCCCGCGGGTTTTTTTTAAATAAACATCACACATTCGCTGTTTTACTATATTAATAGGTTATTTACATGTAACGTATGTGTAAAGAACCTTTTGCGTATAGTTTTTGTTGCGTAAAACAGCATAAATGAGTGGTGTTTATTTAAAACTTGCACACGTGAATCGACTGTCATACGGCGAAAAAGTGTATAAAAGTAGACAAAAAAAACGAGCAACAGCGCGCACGCGCCGCCCTCTCGCACCACCTCGTTGCTAAGTCCTGCTTGTTTTTATGCGGTTTTTAAATAAATAATGATTAACATAAAATAGCGGACTGACTATGGAGCATAAACTTAATTAAAGAGTAGTTACTAATGTATAAATCTTAAACGTGTCTTTAGAAAATGAATCTGTTATTTAAAAAAACAAAAGAAAATTCGTACACGTATCAGACGCGATCGCACGCGATTTAATGGACACAAAAAATAAATAAAAACAAATACGATTACGCGCTTTTGGTTTCCCGCGCACATACGATAATGCGTGAAAGAACGTATCATGTGAAGGGAGCTTTGACAGGAATGTACATTAGCGTGAATTAATGAAAAGGAAAAATCACTTTGAATTAATGAAAAGAGGAAATTACATATGATTGCGTGTGAAAGAACGAGTTGTTGAGTTGAGCCTTGACAGGAATATATATTGGTGTGAATTAATGAAAAAAAATCACATCTGATTGCGCGTGAAAGAACGAATTGTGTAAAGGAAGCTTTAACAGGAATATAGATTAGAGTGAATTAATGAAAAGGAAAAATCACATTTGATTACGCATGCAAGAACGTGTTGTGTAAAGGGAGCTTTGAGAAAAATATGTACATTACATATTTTTCTCAAAGCTCCCTTTACACTTTCGTTAATTTTCTAAATAAAAATCTTCATATTTTTAGTTTCAGAAGACAGCTGGTGCGAGGCATCTAGTATATACTTTAATTCCAGCTATACCAGAAGACTTTGCATGAAGCTGTGCACATAGATGACTGCCACTTGAGTTCTTTATAAAAACGTTCCTTTTAGAGAGTGAGATATAGTAATAAAAGTACAGGATATGGTTGTACTTAACCCACCTGTTTCAGCCGCCTTGTAATTTGCTTTTTATGCTGTTGTTTCGGTTGTAGACAGCGATCAGGCAATGAAATTACAAGATAATAGGCATGACATCTTAGATTGGAAACGTTATCACTCGTATTTACGGACATCATATTATCACGGGTATTATGTGATAAAGTGATGTCGACGGTTACCGATTACTATCACGTGGACCGTCTGCTTGTTTGTTAATCACATAAATAAAAAATAAAGTCTGGAGCAATTGTGATTGTGTGGCTTTTAATAATTTAATGAGAATTTGAGGGTTAACACGTGGCAGACGGGTTAAGGACAAACCAATTACTTTTAGGTGTTGTTCAATTAAACTAATTGTTGGAATGATGTCTCAATAAGCTTTTGTCATATCGTTATTTGATAGCAAATTGAACAAACCCAGTGATCTGAGACGGGCTTATTGTTAGTGATGAGGACTACTGGTCCCATTGCTACCAATATAGGGTATATGCTAGCAATTGCTTGCAATATGGTACCATTCCGTGGGGTACTTGTATTGAGACCGTGGGAGATAGGGTGTTTGTATCGAGGGCTAGGGTTAGAAATGAAACAATTCGGGTCCACCTGCACGCGGTCCCTCCTAGAAACAATTGTAGTTTTTTAGTGGTGAGTTCTCAACGATATACTAACTGTCCTGACTACATCCTCATCCGTAAGCAAGCTGCTTAGGGGCTGAAATAGGTGAGACTACAACGCAAACGACTTTAATATTATTTTTATATTCATACAATTATTTTTCCAAATGTTTATGTACAAGAAATTATAATTGAGACAGAAGGGTAGTGAGTTCATATCTGATCAACACCAAAAATCATTGTGTGACTATTTATATTTCTCACTGGCTCTCTGGTAAAGGCAATACCAATAACAAATTAGACTAGTCTAACAGACACCGATAGGTTCATCCCGTACCATTGCCAATTTTCGACATGTCAGGTGATATCGAAACTTGGTCAGACACATTTCTAAACTGAATTTATGTGTAACATACAAACACAAATAATTCAGGGCAAACAGTCCTGAATTGTTAACACCATTTTATTGAGTATGCGTACTTTATTTTATTGTTTCTTCCTCTTAGCACTGACCACTTTATGCGGGGTCGGCTCTCGTACTTTAATTTGTTTAATTTGTATTAAATTCTAACTTTATCTAAGTCACCTATCGCAAACTATATCTAAGTCGCCATAAGGTGGATCTGTAAACGCAGAGAAAGTAAAGATACGAGTAGATAAACTGCAAGCATGCTAAATCATAAAGTTGAGGTCACGGAAACAAATACCTAAGATTCTGAGCACACGCGATACATTTAGTATCAGCGATGGTCATAACAACGACAAAAAGTGTCACGAAATCAAATTAATAAAAAAAAATCTTAAACTTATATCCGGATATTTTATTCTACAATGATCATCATTATCGTCATTTCTCATTCTCCTGGTTCTTCCCTTATTTAGGGTCAAACCTACTGATACTTTTACGCCACTCTAGAAGGTTCTGTGTCAAGTGTCTTATACGTCCATCGTCAAAAAGGTCTTTTGATGATGGGCTTAATTGATGCTGGGTGGTTCGATCCCAAATGTCCACTATCCTTGCCTCCGACCATGGCCATTTCTACAATTATTACGTCGTATTAAATATATATTTGTAGTTATTTACATAAATATTATATATTGTTAAAGTTATGTTTTTTTTTGCACAAATGTTTTATACGGGAATTTAATGACCTTATTTGTTTTAGTCTTAACAACAATCTTAGTCGCAACAATTGTTGTCACGAAAGACAAAAACAGTAAATTCATTAATTCTCTTACGTAGTTATAAAATAATATTATAAAAATGTAAGATTATATTCTGTAATAGAAATACTTAAAAATACTTGAATGTGTTAAAATCGCTAGACCAAATTTATCTTTTTATTTAATATAAAATTTTATTTATATATTTGAAAAACCAAAACTTATCGCCGGTCACTGACACAAAATATAGCCAGTGTATTGGGTTTACTTTACCGGCGGGTTAACATTTTGTTTCCACGGCCTTGGTTCAAAGTTCATACTTACTCTATGCACGCCTCCTGGAGCGTTTCACAGTCAGTAAAGGAAATTAAATCGTCTTCACTATTAGATACAGTTTATATTAATTCGTAAGTCGGTTGGCTGTGTAACTGTCTCTAGCTATGCAGTATTGCAGTATTACCTACTTAGAATATTATTGGTACACATTGTACATATTCTGGCCAATGTTGTAAATTCAAAACAAATTTGAGGATTGACATTTTTTATATTATTGTGATTGGAATGGTGCGCCCGCTTGAGTTAACGGTTATGATAGGATTCTTGGCCCCGCCAACGCATTCAGATTGAATAACAGTAAACTGTATTTTGCATTTTAAGGTAATATCAGTGATAATACCACGTTGGATATGAAGAATATCCTCATAGTCCTCAGCATGCTCGTGCCTAACGCCTGTTATAATAGAGTCAGCCATGTATCTGAACTTGAGGTTATCAATAATTGGTCTATAAATTCGTTAAGGCGTTTTCTTAAGAGATGTGGATTTAATCTAGTATCCTAAAAACACAATAAAAACGAGAATTTCTACTTCCAAGGGAAAGAAACATATGTAGATGTTTATTATTAACACTACAAACAAGTTAAAGTTCTTTCCTTACTTCTCAAGATGGTGGACAGTGAAGGAAAGGTAATAGAGAAACAAGAACACATTATTTGGAAAAGTTTCTTCTATCGGTAGTTGTTTTGGTAAACATACATTAAATTTAGTTATAAAAATTGTAAAAATAAATAATACTAATTAATAAAACAAAAAATCATATAGTCCTTTGTCTATATAATCATGAATAAAAAAATAAAACATCTAATAAACAACAACCTTCTTTATAATATATAAGAAAATGCACATTTTAAACATATGAATAAAAAAGGTAAATAGGTACAATTCTTAAATGGCCTGAAAATTATTAATTAGTTACATCTCAAATACTTTCACGTACAGATAAGGACAGTTACATTATTACTGAATGTCTAAAATAAAATAATTTATACAGAAACACGAATTAAAGGTAATATAGCTAATAAAGAGTTGTGTTCAAAAATTCACTTTTAATTTTCAGATCAGCCCGTGCTAAGGTGACTCCGTCTCCTTATCGTGGTCATACAAATATTGTAAATAAGAAACATTTAATTTACTTGCTAAATGTCTACTAACCATCTTTATAATAAGACTCTTCGATTCTGCCGTTGGTGGATCACTTGTAGTGCAGAGAGCTAGGAAATCTGTAGCTGTCTGATCGTCACGGTGATCGTTCAAATATTTTCTGTAAAATAAATACAATATAATGAGTAAATTTTATTAGTTTGTTATTTTGTTAAGTTATTGTCATATTATTCAATTTTTTTTGTATTAATATACTAAATAAAGGCTGCAACATATAAGCAAACAGGGTGGACTCACTGCACCCTCTAAATTATAGATCCATTTGTCTCGGCTATTACTTTTTTATTTTATTATAAGCCATTATTGTATTAGTTTATTTCAGACAAATAAAGATGATGATTATTATTTTCACTATTGTCGCATTTTCTCAGCTTTTGCTGGTTTTTTGCCAGCTCATGATGACTATTATTATCATTGTTGATATATTTTTATAATAATAAATGTTTTTTCAATTTATTTCCACATTATTTATTGACATAAAAGATAGCCTATGCCTATCCTCGTGATATCGCCTATCTTCTGGTTGAATATTAAGGTGAGTCAGTTATTTAATCGAGAAATGGTAGGAAACAGATAGACATAAAAACAGAGGCCCTTTCCAATTAATATGATTATTAGCTGTCATCCACTATTTTGACTGCTTATTTTGCAATTAAAAATAGCCTATATCGTCGTAATATAATCTATGTATGTTGAAATACAGTTTCCATTCAGGAAAAAATGGAAAGATGTGAAAATTTAACGAACAGACTGATAGAGACGCTTTTGTGTTTGTAATTAGTATGAATTTATAGATTACTTTAAGCATTCCACCATGGAGTCGAAGCGGGACAAGCTACAGTCACAACCGGTGGATGTGATGGAAGTTTCTTCCAGTTTCTCCACAATGTTGACGCAGTCCACTTGGGTTAACCCTCTTGATTCATCCAATTCTTCCTTCTTTGGTTTTCTTAGAAACAATTTCCTTAAAAAGAAAAACATATTTCTTTATTCAATTATAATGGCATGCAAACTGCTAGCTCACCTAATGGTAAGTGATGGCACATTATCAAAAGATCACGATCATGCTTTGCCATTCTGGAGGATTAAGATGTGACGTCTACGTATCCTGTAATTTCTCTGCCTTATTTCATTCCTTCAACCAAAACACATCTTACAAAGCAAACTGATATAGATGAAATAGAGGCAGTACATCAAACAAAGTCCATTTTCGTTGAAGAGAAAAGAGAAAATATTATTGAAAACTAACGGAATACTGGTTAGGTCATGATGCACTTGTGACCATTACTAGCTATTTCTGTCAACTTCGCTTGCTTTTTTTGACGAAGATAGTCTATATCCATTCTAGTGATACTATTTACATATATGTCGAATTTCATTAAGATCTGTTCAGCCGTTCAGATAATAATAATAACATTAACAACGAATTTGCAAGCTGAAGAGGCAGTGGGCTGGTTATGACTCTCATAGAAGCAATAGTCACTAGAGTAAACGTGTTTTAGCATGTAGACCGCAAATCTGCAAACGTAGTGTAGAACGGCCTGCAGCGAGGTGGATATATAACAACAGTAGGGTTGCTGTTAACAACTGCAAGAGAAGATCTAAAGATCGTACCTTAAGAGAACCCTAGTAGCCTTCAGTGGTCTGATGTTAATAATGAATAACATTAGGGTATGACGCTTTCAGCAAGAGTAGGTCGACAAAGAAAAAAATTAAAAAATATGAGAGAAAGGTTGTCTTCTGATATGGGAAAACTGGATGAGCGTGGCTGTGAATACAGGACAATGGAATAAGTTGGAAGACGCTTTTCCACACATGGGACCATATATATAAAGAAAATAAATTAATCCTAACTTAAAATATTAATTAAATTGTAATATATGGATAATAAAGTATGTAATATATGGATGATAAAAATAAATATATGACGCTCGCAAAGCTAGTAAAATTATTTTACCTTGTAAACGTAGAGGTCGACACAGGCATTTGTTTGTTGTTCTGATGTTCCATGGTTTGTGTGTTGTATACCGGATGAGTATTGTTTATAGCGACTTTACGTTTGACCACTGTTACAATTGACTGCAAGTCTAGACTACACGCAAGTCTGTCTATTTCCTCACAGAGAGTCATTATAAACCAAGAACCTTTCATTGTCCTGTAATCAAGATAAATTATCACTATTAATTATATTGTTTAATAAATGCATATGAATATAATACGGTACATACACCAAAATAACATTTTTTACAATTTTTGTCTGTCTGTGTGTCTGTATGTTTGGTCCGGCTAATCTCTGAAATGACCGATTTTAACGGGTCTTTTATTGGCAGATACCTGATGTAATAAGGAGTAACTTATGCTTTTGTTTTAGAAAAATCTTTTAATTTTGAATAGAATAGAATAGAAAAGCATTTATTCAAATAAACTTAATTTAAGCACTTTTGAATAGTCATAACAATTTGTTTTTTATCTACCACTCGTTCGGAAAGCTGACTCATCACAAGAAAAACGAGCAAGAAACTTGTGTGTTGCTCTTTTAAATAATCCTTGTAAATTTACATTTACAAGTCGAAACGTGTGAATACAAACTACCAACCAGCACAATTTTTTGGGTCAAATATAAATATACAATAAGATTAAATCAGTCGTAGTGATAAGAGCAGACCAGTCCCTACAAGCAGCACTCGTTCACGACTATGACGGATGAGCCAGCCATCACTGCGCTCGACCATAATTTAGGGAGCCCAATGACCCGGCCCACCACGCCGCCACATGACATTTTAGTGAGCATGACTACTCATTCCACTCGACCACGTCACAGCTACAAAAATTACTATATGGTAGTTATAGTATTCGCACTTTACATGAGGATGCATGCGGCAATCAATACAAAAGCGTAGAGTTAGAAATTAGAAATTAAAGTTAAATTCCACGCGGACGAAGTCGCGGGTATAGCTGATAATAATAAGTAATGATTACCTGTGAGCAGGGTTCCCGGCGTAACAACTATGTAGAACCAAAATATCTGACTCCATGGGTAGAGTGTAAGGTTCAGGTTTCTTAACACTGTCACGAAAAATCATTGTATGAGGTTCTAATACGTTAACACCGGATATATCGCCATCGCCTCTGCAAGCCTATACAAAAATAATAAAATAATTTGACAATATCGATTGAGAGTGTCCTGCCTCCCAGACATGCCAACCGTACGAAAAGCTTAGTATAGGTACGAGATTTTAGTCTAAGATACGATTTTATTTCAAGATTACATTAGATGTTGATTGACCTAAAACGCACATAATGCGATAATGTACGAGAGTTGAGAGTTAATTAAACCAAATATACAACATACTTGATTTATTACCATGAGCCTATGTTTTTTAAAGTTACCAACCCTGCTGAACTATATACCCTGAAGTACGTAAGTATACCTGGGTAAAATATAAAATTGATTACGTCGTGTAATTCTGGTATACTGACGTCTGGAATGACCACCATTCCTAATGGCATGTAATATAATTAAAAAATCTGTTAATAACATTGTGCATTAATTTAACATCAGCGCTTTTAGGGATTTTATACATACCTGGATAATTACAATCCTAGGCTTTGTAATCAATGACGGATTCCATTGTACTTTCAGGTAGTCCACGATCATTTGTTCAGGGTATGAGACGTCTGCTGCCAACAGCATACCATTATCTTGTCCGTGAGTGAGCACAGCCACCGCTATACAACCATAACTAGTCAAATCTTGGCTTGTAACTGTAAATAAACATTTCTTTAAAATTTGTATTGAGTCCAACAAAAAAGCGCTGGACTCTTTCCAGCACTTTGGATTCAGCAGAAGCGTTAAAGGAGGAATTTCGGAAAACGACGAAATACATATTTTTTTATTTTTACTAAGAAGCTTTTATATTAATTTTCATTATTGTTGGATTAAAAGACTCATAATTATGAATGTTTGCATCGAACTCGCAACCATCAGGAGCACAAAGAAGTAAGGCGATGGGCTATACCGCTAGATCACCAGGGCGTCAAATATAGGTATGTAAACTATCAAATTATATTATATATGCGTAAGAATGCTACATATAGGAAGTTGCGATAGCTGAAGTGGCAACGTGCCTGTCTTATCTGACATATGAAACGATGACTTATTTTATATATCAAATTCTCGTGTCACAGTTTTCGTTCCCATACTCCTACGAAACGGCTTGACCGATTCTCATGAAATTTTGTGAGCGTATTGAGTAGGTCTGAGAATCGGCCAACATCTATTTTTCATCCCCCTAAATGTTTTTAATATCTATAATTTTATTTTTTTATATTAAGGCAAAACAACGTTTGCCGGGACAGCTAGTTTTATATAAACGCACTTCAGAGTTTTATGCATGTTGGTATTGAAATTATTGCAATGCAATGTCAATCTGTACCTTGTTTACCTTGTTTGTATTTTATATGTACGGAAATCTATGAACTTACTATTCTTGGTATTGCACCTAACTGAATTATTTTAAAGGACACATATGAAAATCATTGTAAAATTCTATGTAGATGTAGGTGCTACGTCATCCAGACCCGATATATTACTGTACTAAAAAAAAAACTAAATCTGTAATACTGGTAGAGTTCACTGTATCGTGAGAAACAAATATACGTAAAGAACATGCAATTAAAACGAATAAATATTACGAATTAATGAATGAACTTATAAGTGGTCGTAGTCCCATTTCGACAAGCCATATACCAGCTAAACCTCTCTACATTTCTCTAAAAGATTTTGGACCGTCTAGAACGGCCCTATAAACCTACATCTGGGTCATACGTCCCGGGAACTGCTCGGAGTTTCGCTCTCTGCCACATGCTAGATTTGGCAACCGCAGTATAACTTCATACAATCCTTTAAAAATGCCTCTAACTACTCCATCTTCTATATTATTCGTGAAGGTGTATTATACTTTAATTCATTTACTTAAATCTACTTGTTATCAGCCCTAAAACATGTGGTATGATATCGTTTGTTATCATAACATTGTATGTACATAACACGAACATTGCTATAGTGTATCAATTTCAAACAATTTTATACCTTGCTGCTAGTGATCACGTTACAATTTTCAATAACGTACCACTAACAAAGGATACATGAAAAATATGTGAATATAGCAGTCCTAAACGGTGGCTCATTTTTTTATGTAATGGTATCAGTAGCTATTTATCACAACGCTTTACTTCAAATGGTCGCTGATTCAGTTCCTCGCAGGATACAAACATTTGCATTCATTTATATTATTGTATCGGTCATTATGTTTTCTATGTACTCGCATATATGTATGTACAAATTTCAAACAGTTCTTTAGTACCAGTCACAGAAACTCTGCTTGGAGTTGTTATTATTAGAATTTAAATGGGAAACAAGCTAGGAGAGAAACCTCGAATGGTCACTATGAAAATAGACTAATGTGGAGGACCTTTTGATATCCGGAAAGAATTTTCATAATCGGATAATAAGTATTGATATCGGATATTACTGCAAACATTCAAACTTCCTGTTTATAATATTAAGTGTAATATCTATGTGTGATAAATTATTGAGGTCAATGATTATTCGATTACTTCTATCTTTAAAAAAAGAAACAAACTAGATTGATGCGTCACTCGAGATAGTTATTTTTTGTTGTTTATTATTTCCTATTGAAACTTTGTTACTCTGAATACAATCTATATTTACGCCACAATTCATTAAGCTCCCGTTCAATCGTAAAAAAGTAACAAACAGATAGGCAGATACACTTTCTTATTAATATAAAGAACTGTTAAATTTATCTAAATTTCAATTTACTTACATTCCTTCAATATTGTTTTAATTTCCTCTTCCGTTTTGTCAGTAAATGTTGGTAGTACTTGAAATCCTAGTTTCTGAAATGTAGTTGTCAAAGCTTCAACATCTTTTTCCGAACCCAGCCTTTCGCTGTGACCGATGAACTTTACATGATTGAAAATAAGAAGAATACTCGATTGAAACTTCTCTAATTCATAAGTGGAGGCGTCTTTCGATAATGCCATATAGTTGTAAAAGTTATTATTTGAATTAGGTATTGGTTCATCTTTTGTTTTCGTAGCTGCATATTCAGGTGGTGTATCATTCTTGCTCAATACAGTATCGTCTTGGTCTCCAAATTGGCCTGGGCTATATGCCCCGGCATCTTGGTAAATTGTTTGGTCATCTTCACTGTTCACTTCAACATTTTCATCCCCTTCAGAATCAAAATTCCACATTGGTAAAAGTAATACACGTCTGATTTCGCTTGATATAGAAATTTCTATAAATTAGGATATTGAAGCGATACAGACTATTTTTTATTGTGTATCTTATCAATATGATACAACGAAGATAATAGAATTCAAAGTATGTAAAGGTACTTTCCCATAACGTCGCGCGTCGTCGATTCTTGTTTGTCAGGAATTGCTTTCTCTTCCCCTTTCCCTTATTAAAAAACAGCCCTTTTTACAGAAGACGTCGAAATCTAGTGGTTTACTACCACGGCTTACACCCAGAGGTCGTGAGTGCAGATCTGACTAACACAAAAAACTTTGAGGGCAAATTTACATTTACACTCTCAGGACAATTCGCACCACAAGACCCAAGTTAAGTTATCTAAAGATTGTGTTATGGGTACTAGATAACTGATACAAATACGTATACATATTTTTTTTCGAAAATATAGACATATTATAAATAGAAAACACCCAGACTGAATTATACTTATGAATACAAATGTTTGTGCCGTGCGAGAAATCGAACCCGCAACCATCGCAAGTAAGGCCGTGTGTTAAACCGCTAGACCACCGAGGCCGTCATATAATAAGACGAAGGCTGCAATTCATCATCAGCTTTTCTGTCTTATGAGTTACATAAAGACATAAAAACAATATTTATATGTATATAAACTTTATTGGTGCATTATAATGTTTAATTAGATAGATATGGAATTATTAATTAATACAGCAACGACGCAATAAGTACCTACACGTAACAAAATCAAATTTTCTTCGACAGATTGACAGTCTCAGTGGTCTAGCGGTTTAGCCCACTGCTTTACTTCCGATGGTCGCGGGTTCGATCTTTCGCACGGTATAAACATTTGTTTTCATGAGTATGATTGTTTGTATCGGTCTGGGTATTTTCTATTTATATTAGTATGTATTTATAAATATATATATATCTAAGTATTTATTACATCAGTTGTCTAGTACCCATGAAGTTGACTAGAACGAGGATAATATTTTAAGAAAGAAGTTACAAATGAATGTGGTTGGTTATAAGGGCAGAGGAAGGCCGAAAAAGAGATGGATGGACTGTGTGAAAGATGATATGATAAGAAAGGAAGTAAATAACGCGATGACTGCGAACAGGGATGAATGGAAGCGAAAAACATATTACGCCGACCCCAAATAAATGGGATAAGGAAAAAGCAGATGATGAGTTGTCTAGTACCCATACCTAACACAAGCTGTTCTACCTCAGGTGACTACATGGCGTTGTGTGATTTTCCCAGGTGTATTATGTTATTATTCATTTAATTGGAGTGGCAAACAAACTGTCGGCCCACCTGTGGTAACCACCGTCGTAGATATATATGAAAAGAGCCATGGACATTATAATAAAAAAACAGTGAAAACTCCCCCAATTATTACCTCGTCAACAGATGCCATTCCAACATCCTTACACACTAGCCTCAAGTAATTACAACTTCACCCACTTACTTTCATACTTCTCCGTAAAGCTGTAATAATATATATATTACTAGGTGTCTCGGCAAACGTTGTTTTGCCATATAAATTAATAACGCTATAAAAAAATAGGGGTTGATGATAGAAGGGTGAAAATTTATTATTGTATGTTGTATCATAAAAAAATAGAAACTAAAAATTTTGTCTAAGAAATTTAAAAAAAAAATTTAGGGTTGGACTACCCTTAACATTTAGGGGGATGAAAAATAGATATTGGCCGATTCTCAGACCTACTCAATACGCTCACAAAATATGAGAATCGGTCAAGGCGTTTCGGAGGAGTATGGGAACGAAAACTGTGACACGAGAATTTTATATATTAGTGTATATAAAACAATACATAATATTAAGGGGCCAGCAAAAGCTGTGAAAACGAGACAACAATAATAATAATAGGTGTATTTTGCAAAAAACAGTTACAAAATGGACTGAACTAAGTTTCTATACTCAGTAGGTAGATATAATGTAAGTGGTACTTAAAAACTTTAACAACAAGCCCAGTGACATATTGTCTAAACTTGGCTAAGCCTTATTCATTATTTTATCGTTATAATCATGTAGGGTTGCCATCTCTAAAATTTAGAAACTAGAACAATACGCGTGAAAGTCCCGGTTATTAGAGTCCAGAACCCGGATATATGAAAAGGTTTTTTTAAAAATAGTCAATGTAATAAATACAACAGTTAAAAATGTCATAAGGTCACCTTTCTATTTATTTTCCGACTTTTAAATTATATGTAGGATGATAAAACAGAATATTATTACAGTTTGATACAAATTGTTTTAATAATCAGTTCGATTTTTTTTGTTCTTAAAATAAAACAAGTTATTGATATACTTTAATATTAAATCTAAAAAAAATTAATTACCCTGGATGCTCCCCTTAACGATGCCCTCTAAACTAGGACAAATCCGGGGAAACCCGGACGGAGGGCAACCATATCATCATGTGATGCCCGTAATGAATTTTCATGAGGTGCCAATACAGATAAACTTACGTACATTACTCGTTTCTAAGCTATTTACAGGGTTGAGATATGGCAGTGAAATTACTAAGAACGTAGGTTTTTTGTTTTTACTGTGGATGTGTGGTGGAAATTGTGGATATTCTTTAGATTTAATATTATTGAATAATATTGCAAATATTTTTTTTAATTCGACGAAATACTTTGGTTTTAAGAATGAACAATCTTAATAATTAATTATCTGCCTAAAAAAGCAAATAAGAAATATAGCTAGTTTACTAGCTTATAATATAAATGACCCCATTATAAGTAATGTAACGCGTTGCATTAATCCAATTAGTAGTATTTGTACTAATAATAATACTAAACATACTGAACATATTGATGCACAACATGACTGCAGATTTAAACTGCTGAAAAAGACAAAGGGAAAGTTATCAGAATTAAAAATTATATAGTTATGCGTGTATATAGACCTCCAAATAGTGATTATAATTTATTTGTAGAAGTAGGTAATGGAGGATATTTTAAAAAGAATATTTAATATTAACAAAAAAATTATAGTCTGTGGTGATTTTAATGTTGACATATCACATAATACCGCAAAAACTAAATTAATGAGTTTATTTCAATCTTTTGACTTGAGTAATGTCTTTCACGAACCCACTCGTATCACAGCCACGTCTGCTACTTGTTTGGATAACACATTTAGCAACAGTGAATATTTAAATAGATAAAATAATAATAAATAACCTTCCTTCTGATCACTGTGGTCAAATAGTAACTTTCCCAAAACACGTAAATAAAATTGGAAAAATTAATTTATTAAAAAGAGACTTGATTGGTCTATAAGATAAATAAATTTAAAATATCAGTACGTAATAAATTATATTTTTATCTTCAATCTAATGTACCTAACAAACTTTATACATATTTCTTCAATAACGAATATAATAAGGCTTTTAACAAAAAAAAATTATCAGTATTAGTAACAAAACAAAATTTTCATTTCATTCAAAATTTTGAATGGGCTACGAAGGGAATTCTTAAATGTAGAAATATATTATTTGATTTATATGCTCAAAAAAATACCGTTTTGATAGTATATTTGTAAATTATGTAAAATGATACTCAAAAACTTTTAAAAAGGTATGTAATGTTGCAAAGTCTAATTGTCTAAATAAAAAAATTAAAGAATCCAAAGATAAGATAAGGACAGTGTGGAATATTATTAATAAAGAAACTGGCAAAGTTAAAAGTCCATTTTACATTAAATTATAATGATAAACTAGTAACGTCCACAAAAGAAATTGTCAATATTTTTGAAAAAAATTTCGCTAATATTCCTACTGATATTACTTCTTCTTTGGACTCTTCTCCAAGTACAGCTAAATCATCCCTTATCAACAATATAGTTTCTTATCCGGTTACATTTAAATTTACATTTATTGATATTGCTACAATTATGAAAACATTTAAACAATTAAATTTAAAAAATACTGAAGACCATGGGAGCATGTCTGTTGTGCTATAGATGTTATTGCTCCATATTTAGTAACTATCTTTAATAAATGTATTTCTAACGGTGTTTTTCCCAATTTAATTAAACATAGTAAAATAACTCCACTCTAAGTCAGGAGAAAAAATTGTGGTAGGCAATTATAGGCCTATATCTATATTACCAGTATTGAGTAAAGTGTTTGAAAAAATAATGCTCAATCAAATGCTGCATCACTTTAAAGTAATTAAACTGCTTCACAGTCGACAATTTGGTTTCACGACTGATAAATCAACTACTGATACCGGTACAGCTCTCATTAAATATATATTTGATTCTTGGGAGAGGTCTCAGGATGCAGTCGGTGTCAGTTTGGTGTCTTTCAAAAGCATTTGATTGGGTTGAACATGAAACACTTTTGCTCAAACTTGAACATTACGGTATTAGATATGAAGCACTAAACATGATGAAATCCTATCTAAATAATAGAATGCAAGTTGATGAAATAAATGGTGGAAAGTCTGAGGGAACTAGTATTAAAATAGGTGTTCCTCAGGGCTCTATTCTAGGTCCTTTCTTATTTTTAGTTTACATAAATGATCTTCCTCACATGGTAGAAAAGATAGCTGACATAGTTCTGTTTGCTGGACGAAGTAAACGGTGCTCTCTCTTCTGTTTTAAAATGGTTTACAGCTAATAATATGCTACTAAATGCAAATAAAACTAAATATATCAAATTTACGCTCCCCAATGTAAGATTCAAAAATCGTATTGGACAATAAACCTATTAATTTTGTTCACAATACTGTATTTCTTGGTATCACATAGCTTCAAAATGACGAATTTACATAAAAACTTTCATCCCCTATTTAATTTTACCCCCTTAAGGGTAACATTTTTATAAACTTTGAAGGCCTATTTATTTATATTTAATCAACAGCCTAAAACATCAGTTTCTAGCTTCAAAACTGACGAATTTACATAAAAACTTTCACCCCCTGTTTTATTTTACAGCCCTAATGGTAAAATTTTTACAAACTTAGAATGTCATATTTATTTATATTTAATCAACAGCCTCAAAAATAAGTTTCAAGCTTCTAGCTTCAAAAATGACGAATTTACATAAAAAAATTATCCCCTAATTTATTTAACCCCCTTAAGGGTAAAATTTTTAAAAACTTTGTATGTCATATTTATTTATATATATTTATCAGCCTCAAAAACAAGTTTCAATATTCTAGCTTCAAAAGTGACGATTCTTCCATACAATTTTTCATCCCCAATTTCAAACCCTTACAACCCTATTTTCGCATTAAAAAGTAGCCTATGTCCTTTCTCAGGGTCTAGACTATGTGTGTACCAAATTTCATTTAAATCGGTTCAGTAGTTTTGGCGTGAAAACGAGACAGACAGACAGACAGAGTTACTTTCGCATTTATAATATTAGTAAGAAAGTAAGAATAAACATATTTTTATCCGATATTTTGCGGATTGACTCTAATAAGAAGTATAGTTTAGTTTCCTGTCCTTTTATAGTTATATATCTTATAGAAATTGGCATATTAATTGTACGGTATAATCAATACATAACATAAAAAAAACAAGGCATTATCATTGCCCTGTTGTCGATACAATATATCATCTTCCATAGATCTCCCTATTCGCTGTAATATCTGATCTTACTCTCCTTTTTTGTACTATCATCTTTCAAATCAGTTCATGCATCTTTTCTTGGGTCGTCCTTTGCCTTTATCTGCATAAATCCAACTAGCATAAAGGCTAAAATGTTTTATGTACACGACATTTTAGGCATGCAAATGTTATTGAAATCTTAAAGTTTAAGAATTCTTAAACAGTACAGTTGTTGAGTAGAAACACAATTAATATTTACGTATGCCTTTATCATACTGATACGCTATCACACCGATAGTATAGTGTTCTACACGTGGATGTGAAAAAATAATCTGTTGCGGAAAAATCGATTACTTGCTGAATAAAATATAACTTTGGATAATAATATTCCCACAAATCAATATTTAGAAATTGCTTTTAAAAAGAAAATACATTAGTTTATGTATTTCAAAGTTATGTATATAACATTTAGTTCAATCTGTACTATATTGAATTGTAACATCTAACACTAATATTATAAACTTGAAAGTTTGTGAGTATGGATGGATGTTTTTTACTCTTTCGCGTAAAAGCTACAGAACGGATTTTAAAGAAACTTCACAATAATATAGCTTATGCATCAGAATAACACATAGGCTATAATTTAAAGAGATATTATATTAATTAGCATATTACTGCTAATTCATATAATATCTCTTTTAATATAGGTAATACGGACGGTCTATAGATAGTAGACGGAGTTGCGAGGCCAGCTAGTAAATTAATATCTAGTAATATACAATACACAATATGTGTATTTTTTTTTAATTTAAGATGGCTATATCTTGCACGAAATATAAAGAAGAACGATAGATATTTGACAATTGTAGTGCTATATCTCAGTGCCTTGACTGCGCGGTTGATACATCACTTTTTGATGGTATCTCGTTATATTATACATTATCCCGTTCCCGCACTTTATTTCTCTGAAGAGAGTAAAAGGGATAACTATACTTGTAAAACAGCAGAAATAGAGATTTCGTACCTTTCTTTTCTCCTCCAGAACTGCACGAAGTCTAGAAGTTTTCTTATTTTATTTTCTATTGTCAATTTTGTTTCGGAGAGGTCTCATTACAACGCTTGTAGAAATTTCGTATTATTTTAATAAATATAAATTTCAGTTATATTTAATAAAATAATTAACATATAGAAAAAAGTAAAACATATGAGCATAGTAATAATAAATTTACATTTTATGGACGAAAATGTTTTATTTAATTTAATGTGGAATAGGTTTGTATTGAAAATCACTGCCCACGCTTACTCTTGAGGAAATACATACACGTCTGTTGCTTGCTACCACGAATTCTTGGGTTGCCATCAAGGGTAGTATCTAAGCCACGATGACTCAATAATTCATGCAAATATTACAGATTAGGAATTATTGACCGTTTTAGTGAAAAATAATCTGGATGGGGTGAAATAAGAATAAAGTTTCAGACAAGTAACAGCTATTACAAATAAAACGTGGTGTGATCCCAAATTTTCTTTACGTTACATGTGAAATACGTTGGGCTATATACTGCGATGTATGTATTTCTAGGTCGCGTGTAGTTTGGTTGACAGGGCAGAATAAATACATTAATATTTTTGTCGTCAGTCTAGTAAAAAGAAACCCTTTCTGATTCTTGACATCACTTTACTTGCATATGAGAGGTCCAACTTAAAGTATTTATTTTATGTTTGCTGTGGTTTGTTTTCATCGGAAGTCTGCTTTTTTAATAGATGATAATGGAATGGTCCACTGGTACACCTGAACATGCTAACAGTTTATGCTGGCCGGGAACCTGTGGAGGATCATAAGACAACCATGAAATGAGTTCATTTAGCCCATCGTAGTGAATTCAGCAGGAAATCCAGGAAGGTTTCCATGGAGAACCGCGTTGAGGTCAATCTATGTGGTAGTGCTATTGCTACACTACCACATATTCTTCAAAAATTCCCTTCCTGAAGTCATGACTCGTTTGTCTTAGTTTAAGATTGGAAATGATTTGTCTAATTCTGAAATCGTAACTGAACAGGGAGCCAAGATCTAGAATAAATTATGTTCACAAGTCTGATATAATTTTTATGTAATGGAGGCGGTTCAATGAGATGTTTCCTGGAAAAAAAAAACATTTTAAGGATTACGTTTAGTTACACAAAATATATAATTAGTGAACTTCATTTTTTTATATAATTAGAATGGCAAACAAACTGACGTTCCATCTGAGGGTAGGCATGATGGCAATATATCGTATATATAGTCGCCTATCTATATATACGAATACAAAAACATGACGATATCGTGTTATTGCTGTTGCCATTACAGAGAACTGTGCTGTTGTCTACCCTATAATGGCAGAAATAGATGATCAGAGTCATCCACGCTTGATGACTTTGTATAAGTCTACTTAAGGTAAGTTGGTCATATGATGACGTGTGCCGTTCAAATATACCGTTACCATTTACCATCAGGTGGGCCGTTTGTTTGCTATTTCAATTCTTCTTCTTCTTAGCTCTATCCCACTTTATATGGATCTCCAAATTTGGCACCGCCAGAACAATCTGTCCAGGGTTGTCGGACCAGGAAATTTTTCCATCCAATTCCAAGATTAGTCATACTGGTCCACCATATAGCTGGAGGACATCCTTCACCTCTTTTACTTTCGGCTAGTCACAAAGCTTTTTTGACCACATATTCCTCGTCACTTCACAATACAAGGCCGACCATCCGGCTTTGGGTAAGTGTGTTCTTTATTGGGGGCACTTTGTAACTACCGTGGATGTATTCATTTCGCACCCTAACTAATGTCGTGACTCTACCACCACTTGTTTGCTATTCCAGTTAAATAAAAAAATGTATTACCTGAGATAGTTCTCCATAATTTTGTGGCAAATCGTATATGTCAGGAGTTTACACCCGATGCAGCGACGATGCATGCGTGTAGCTACCATCGATATGAGTTTGTATATCGTCATTAAAGTTCCTTAGGTACAATTTCCTTAAATAAAAACAAACAAGTTGTACAAGATTCATCATAATATCATCATAATAACCGAGGATAGATCACACAGCGTCATCTAGTCCAAAATTACTCCCAGAATTATGTTTGTACTCAATACCGGACAGAATAACGCTGCCAGTATCTTGGGTACGCTGCCTCGATGTGCCGCGTTGGATTACAATGATTGTTTTTTGTAATTGTTTGTATTGAATTATGAAATTGATAAACATGATTAAAACAGTGTTACTTACACTACTTTTAACATACAAATATTTATTAAAAGAATTCAATTTAAATTAAAAAAAAAATTATTTAGTGTTAACATACCCGTATATTAAAAAAAACAGTCGTTAAACATAATCATAACATACTAAACATAATAAGAATACAAATGTATGTATACAATGCCCGATGCAAGGGCAAAAATAGAACGTGCGATCATTCAAATCGCACATTATACAATATATATGTAAAAAACTACTTTCTACCCCTTTTACAGTAATTACTATGAAGGAAGGAAAGAAAGTATGAAAATTGGCATTAATATTTTTAAGGATAAGGAACGCTGAAAGGTAATATTTGTTTTCATATTAGAAATGACAAACATGCTGACGGTCCACTAATGTAGATAACCATCGCTAAGATGCATAAATCGCATCACATGCATCAAGTTATAATATCACGTTCATGACATAACTCGGGCGTTAACATTCCTAAGATGTCAAGCTCCTTATCTTGTAATTTCACTGCCTTACCGAAACTGCCTGAAAAACATTCTATAAAGCGAGCTGCTTAGAGGCTATAGTTGTCTGTCTCACTTTTGTCTGTTGTTGATATGTTAGACAAATTATTGTAAAATATACCCGTCGAAAAACGGTTTTATTGTTATATATTCATTTAGTCGGGTCTTAACAAGAATAATTTCTATGTAAATTTTATGAAGACGTACCAGTAGATTTTTAGTTACCTGTACTATTATTATAAAGAATTATTATAAAGAAGATCGTCTGTTTGAATAATAATAATAATAATAATATATTTATTCATTTTTACACAATGTCACTAATTTATAGGCCGAATGTATTGAATAGGATTCGACACTACAGGACTGTTCGTATAATTTGAGTAATTTAATGGATTATGCACATATCATCGCAAGAACTAAATGAAAAAAAATTGTTATGTGTTTGACTTGAAATTTTCTCTTTTTTTTCTCTTTTTATTTTTCTCCCCATTTTTTTTTCTCTGTTTATTTTATTTAATTTTTATGTAGTCTAAACTTGTGTTTTTATGAAATCAAACTAAAAAAATTTTAATTACTCACTGATCTGTTAATACAATTCTTTATAGTGCGGGGTCTAATGTATAATCAACTTTGTAATACTTGTACGTTTGAAAATTAATAAATGTTAAAAAGAATGTATTATATGGGCATAAAGTTGCTCGAATTAAACTAAAAAAACACTAAGGTTTTAAAACTGAAATAATTTTTTTTGCGCAATGTTGCTACAGTAAATAAGATCTTAAATAAAATATTATTGATCAGCATACCATAATAGGCATGCAAATTATACGAAAGTATTTGTGTTAGTCAAACATTCTTGGACACTGTAAAAATTTACCTTGTAAACGTAGAGGTCGACACTGGTATTTGTTTGTTGCTCTCAAGCATATCTGTTTCTGGGTTATAATCCACAATACTGAAATTTATAGCTACTTTACGCCTAACCTCTGTTATAATTGATTCGAAGTCTTCGCTGTACGCTCTGTCTATTTCCTCACAAAGAGTCTTTATGAACCAAGAACCGTTTTCTGTCCTGTAAATAAAGATACATATATACTAATATTATAAATGTAAAAGTCTGTCTGTTTGCTTGATTTTTTCTTGACCAAATAAGTAAAGAAAAAAAATTGACGTATAAATAGATTTATCTCAAACAATAAACTTGAAGAGTGTTGGAAACTGGCGTTAATCTTAATTAAACAATTGTCAGAAATCAATGTCCATTCTTTACTTTCACCATATTATACTCTTCTTTGATATTCCTGATCATTCAGACAGTCCCATACAAAGAGAGTGATATTGGGAATAAAATTTGCGATAACGATAACGATGTTGCGGGTAAAAAGCCTGTACTATACAATACATTTCGACCCAAATTTGTCAGGCAATAAATTCAAATATAAATAATAATAATAATCCTGAACAATCCATTCAGAGCCATCAAGTTTTCAAGCAGAATTTGTGTTATGGGTACATAATATATACAAAGCACACAAACCGGTACAAACATAAGTTTGCATCATGCAATGAATCTTGGCATGCAATGAATCGTGGAATCTTACCCACGAGCATCAGAAATAAAGCGCTATGCTAAACTATTGGTGGGGCACATTCAACATTGCTTCCTAGGCAACAAATAGTCGTTCAGTTGCCCCTAACGATTTGCCTACACATGAGACGAAGATTGAAGTCGTGTGCCTTATTTTAGAATCTATGTAATATATTGCATATAGCAATAAGACCACTTTCCAACCCCAGATGCCACCGATTATTTAAGACAGCTTAGGCCGTCAATTAATATTAAAATTAAGGTGTGAAACATACCTATAAGCTGGATTTCCGGGGTAGCAGCTGTGCAGAACCAAGATGTCTGCCTGCTTAGGCAAAAAATAGAATTCTGGTGTTTTTATGTTATCCTTGTACACAGGTACCTGAACGGCTCTATTACTATGTTGGCCTCTACAAGCCTAAAAACATATTTTAAACAAATTTTTGTGTAACAATATTCGCATTTAGATGATAGACCACTATACACAGATATAGAGAGACAACACAAATAGATGCTTCAATTTATACGGAAACTATAAATGTGATTAATATATTGCTTATAATGTTTTAAAGGCTATTTATTTAAATGACACTCACTCCAGCATATACCATCAGTAATACAATAAATACATACAGGGAGGGCAAGGCAGTGCATATGCACAGCCTCTCCCCGCTTATTTCAAATAAATTTTGTTCAAGTTTACGTTAGGTTTTTACCTAAGTATATAAATATATATTGTAAGTTATAGAAAAGTTGCGAGGTATCAGATTGAGCTGGTATGGGCATGTTATGCGGAGGAACGAGCATCATGTCTTATGGAAAGTGTAAAATATGAATGTGGATGGATCTAAAGGGAGGGGACGCCCTAAGAAAAGATGGATGGAATGTGTGAAAGATGATATGAATAAAAGAAGTATGCTCAGTTATGACGACCGACAGAGAGCAGTGGAAGAGAATGACATACTACGCCGACCCCAAATCTAAATATATATAACTCAAAGGTGACTGACATAGTAATCTATCAACGCACAGACCAAACTACTGGACGGATCGGGCTGAAATTTGGCATGCAGGTAGATGTTATGACGTAGACATCCGCTACGAAAGGATTTTGATTAATTCTACCCCCAAGGGGATAAAATAGGGGATGAAAGTTTGTATGAAACTTTGTCAATTTTAAACCGATCGGGCTGAGACTTTACACGCATAAATCTACTATGACGTAGGCATCCCCTAAGAAAGTATTTTGATAAATTCCACCCGTAAGGGGATAAATTAACGCGAGCGAAGCCGCGGGCAAAAGCTAGTAATGGGATAAAGGCAAGGCAATGAATGATAAATATATATCGTGCTATTTGGCAGAAATTCCTAAGAGTTATTTTCTGACTCTGTGTATTCTATTTTATGATTTACTCTGATAGTCTACTAGACATAGATGTTTCTCAAGATATGATTACAGATGTTTTATTATGTAATTAGAATTGCAAACAAGACCTGATGGTAGGGGGTAAGCGTTGTCTATATAAATGAACAGCATTACACACGTCATATACTCATGTGACGCTCGGAACAACTATTCACAAAGTTATGTTTTAGAAAAAAATATGAAAAAAAATACCTATATTGAATCGATAACACAGTACAACAATAAACAAAATGGAACACATTGAACACTAATATTATTATATTAATATCTATACCTACATATAAATAAAATTGAACTGTCTGTTTGTAATATTGAAATAACCGTTTTTTACTACATGCAGATGAATATAAATACGTCTTTTTTGTTTGTCTGTCTGATTGTTCCGGCCAATCTCTGATATGGCTGTACGATTTTGACGGGACTTTTTTTGGCAGGTAGCTGATGTAATAAGGAGTAACTTAGGCTACTTTTATTTTAGAAAAATAAAGTTAAATTCCACGCGGACGAAGTCGCGGGAACAGCTAGTTTTAAATAAAATAACTACTTAGTTGGTCACAATTTATCTTTCAACTGGTTGTCAATGTGGTTCTTAATTTAACAATATTTTCATGTATATGTTATTCGTTCTCATACCAAACCCAACGGATTCCAACGAATGTTTGTTTATTTTATTTAATATCATTAAGCAAGTTGAAGACCAATATGAACCACGCTTTTATTTTAAATAAATTCTTTATTTTAGAAAAATAAAGGTTTTTTTCCCGCGGACGAAGTCGCTGGTGCAGCGAGTTATAAATATAACTAGTATGGTTTTAATGGTATTAATTTTCTACTTCTATCGCCCTCTTAGCTGGTGGTCGTTACAATACAATAGATAAGTTCTCAAATTACCTGAATTATTAAAATCTTTGGCTTTGAAATGGCTGTTGTTTCCAAATATTTAATAAGCCTATTTTCATTGTAGCTTCTATCTGACGCTTCGAGACAGCCATCTACGTCTCCATGGGTAAGTACAGCCACAACTATACAGCCATACTTATCAGCATGATCCTCTTTAGTAACTGCAATTAGATTTTTTGACATAGAGATAAGTACATTTTTATTTTTTTTTTAACTTATTTACACACAAATTTTTACAAAATAAAATATAAACATCAAGCCGCAATACTGCCTAGCAGTTTATCTGCAACAAAAACGTTTAACTTAATACTTATTTATAATGTACATACACCCACATATATTCACATAAACACATTATTGTAGAACCAGGTATCAATGCCACACAATATACCCTAATATTTGTTTACAAAAAAGTTTAATTATTTATTTTTGAATAATTTTTTGGATACATTATCTAATAATTTTATATGTTTTGGTAACATACACTCGTACATATTATAATATTTTAGAACTAAATATTTTCTAGTTCTCGATCCGTAATACACCTTATAGGTACAATATATTTTTACTTTCAACTTTACATATAGTAATTTTATGATAACATGATTTTTAAGTTTATTCTTTTAAAATGTTCCTTTAATATTAATAATTTAAATTTATCTTTTACATCCAATAATCTGTATATTCTAAATAGGTCCATGTACCTATTTTGCTTACATAATTATGCCTCCTTTATGAACTAGTAACCTCATAAACCTTAATATGATTAAGATATGTGCCATAACTACCCAAATCATAAGATAATACGGAATCTATTAGCGCATGATATATTCTATATATATACCGTTTTTCTGTTAACTGCAAAACTTAGTTGATGGAATTTCGCTAATATTGATCTTAATTTAGTACAAACATTATTTACATGTAATCGCCCTGACATATTGTGGTCTATTATATATTGGTCCATTGACTAATCCAGTAGGGACACCATACAATATATCAGACTCATCACTTGTGATACCACATATGTGCAGTTTTAGTTTTCTTTGGTTCAGACAACATTTTAGCCACTGATTTATGGGACCTCTTATTCCTCATTCTGCCATAGCCTGTACCAACTGTTCATGATAATGTCTCAAAGGCTTTTTTTTAATTAATAAAAACGGCTCTACACTTTGTGTTTGATCAAGACAATTGGTTACATTGGTCCGTGAATTCATTAAAGGCTCGCAGTGTTGTGTCCTCGCCTGAAACCAAGTTGTGCATCTGATAATACAGTATGGCTCTCTAAAAAATTTGCATCACAATTACTTTTTCTTTTATTTTATTAATTATAGAAAGGATATCAATTGGCCTATAGTTTGTGTACTCGTAGTGACTACCATGTTTATACAGGGGCCTTATTACTGATGTCTTTAATCTATCGGGATAAAGACCTTACACCACAATTTGTTTTTAAATATATTTTATATCTTTTACTCTAATTTTATCTACACCCGAGGCTTTGTTAGGGCTTATTTTATGTATTATTTTTTCTATATCGTATGCAGTTACTTTCATATACCTCATAGACATATTACACTCCTCTATATATATATATTTATATCTATAAATTTATCATTACAGTTATGGTTTATATCATTAGTACGTTACGTTTACGTTTTGGGAATAATTAACTTGTTTTGAATTATTTCTTTCTTACCTAAATATTTCTTAATAATATTGTCTATATTTCTTTTTTTTCTACTCATTTGCCCAAACCTTTCTTCTTCTTTTCTTACATTTTAAATTTTTTTAATTCATTCTGTCTGTACATATTAAAACATTTATTTATACATTTGTTTACTTTATTTCTATATTTTGTATATTCTATTAATATTTTTCGGATAATTCTTTGACTTTCTAAATAATTGATATCTCCTATCTATCATATTTAATATTTTACTTTTTATCCATGGTTGCCTGTATCTAGATTTCTGAGTATATATGATAATGTACTTAATGTATGATACAAGGTTTTAATAGTCTTTTTTTTATCCACCACTCATTCCGAACACGAATCATTATTCGTGTTCGGAATGAGTGGTTACCATGAGTGGTTACCATTGTAAAGAAATTTGCGTGTCGCTCTTTCAAATAAATGTTGTTCAGCATTACATTATTAAGATTTAACTTGAATACAAGCTGCCAAAAAGCAAAATAGACAAAATAAGCGCACTTGTGTAACAAAGTAATTCAGTTATTTCATGTTTACGGCTAGAAGGGTCAGCAAAAGTAAATTTGAGTAATTAATATACAAAAGGCAAAGTCTTATCACATAAACAAACATGAAGACAGAAGATAATTTATTATATATTATAAATTAAACATTGTTATTACAGTAACATAATTTCATATACTTATAATATACTCTTTTGAATATAACGATTTCCAAATATAATATATATGAACTGTTTAAGATAAATAATCTTACCAAATATGTACTTAGTACAACTCCAGCGGTTTATGCAGCGAACACTAGTGTATGATGTTCTCAGATTGAAGGCTTTCACGACTCACTTAACTCTTTTATATTTATCCCGATATCACAATGTCCTTTTAAATTATACCCTATGTGTTTTACTGATGTATAAACTATACTGCTATAAACTTTCATGAAATGCGTTCAGTCGTTTTTGCTTGGAAGAAAAACAAACATCCAAACTTTCAAGTTTAATATATTAGGCCAAACTAATTATAAAAATTAAACATAAAATTATAGATATAATATGTGAATACTTACAGCGACTCATTATGTCCTCTATTTCTTCTACTGTTTTATCATCATGTTTTTGGACACTGAAACCAAATTTCTTAAATGTATTGGACAAAGCTTCAACGTCTTTTTCCGTGCCTACTCTTTTTTCACTTTTACGAAAGTTTATATGGTTGAAAATAATAAGTATTTTGTATTCGTAGTGCTCCAATTCATATGTTCTTGCACTTTTAGATAGTAATCTAATTTCTTTTTTCTTCTCCTTAGTCTCCTTTTTAATAGATGGCATATAGTCTAGATGAATCCCTTTTTCATGTACTATTAATTGCTTTCCAACATCGTCTATCATTATTTTACGGTAAACAAAATCTAAATCAACGTCATCATCCTCCCCAATTATTTTCTTCGCCTCTTCAGCATCAATTTGTGATCCTTCCAAGATTTCATACTTTGACATCACCAAAGTTTTACACGTCTAACTCCAATGGACGATCAAATAAACTACTGACATTTTTATATAATATATTGATAAGAGCAACAAATGTAGGTACGATAATAAGTTATTATAGGAATCGTAATATAAGTGTAACAGAGAATTCATTCAAGAAGTTATCGGCTTGATTAATCATAATGTGTGTGTATTTTAGTTAATCGAGCCGATAACTTAACTTTCGTTTATTTAAAAAGTCACACTACTTAAAAAAACACAAGGTACAGTGATATAAAGTAAAAGATATAAAGGAAATACACACTGTAATAGTTGATTATGGGATATAACATAGTGATTTCAAAATTTATATTTATTTCTTTACATAGAATAAAATTGTTTCTTTTTAAGTTTTCACATAAAAGCAGCTGATGGAATTAGGATAGAATATTACAGAATATATTGTTAGAAAAATCAGATTTTTGTAATTTGGGCTGTCATCATCGTGTTTTTACCAGTCAGAAATAAATTTTCAACCGAATTTAAACTGAGTTGATTATCACTAAGCTAATAAATGCGTCGTGCTTTTAATTGCTTTATCTACTTTCTATGCAATTGATAAAGCTGAATTCGGAATACTGATAAGAGATAAAGTACAAATGGTTCACTCCAATGATATGAAAATATCAGATAATGTTCGATATTTACCGAAACTAGACGTATTTTGGACGAATCTAAAAAAAGTTTTTGACAACATGGAAAACAGCACAAATGATAGTGTAATATATCGTGATGCTTTAGTGTATCAGGGTCCTAATTACGAAACAGAAGAAGAAGAACAGGGGCAAGTTAGTGCAGGAAATGAAGGCGATACCACTATAAACAATAAACAAAATATAAATGCATTATCAAAATATGCTGCAACGTACGAATTGGAGAAGTTCAAATGGAAAGCGATGCTTATATTCCATCATAGTAACTTCAATATAACAAGTCAATCAAGGGTTACTTCGCTTGGAGACGTAAAACTGATGTCGAAAACATTTAAAAAACTTGGGTTCACAGTGGAGGTACATCCGGATAAATCTCTGGACGAAATAAAGAAAATAATGGAAAAATGTTAGTATGATTATTTTTTACCGCGAAAGACGTACAAATACGAAGTAGCCTGTGTTGGTACTGCAATCAGCTCGCAAGCAAGCCGTCAAGCAGCTCGATTTTTAAGACGTGTTTTGGTTGAAGGGTGAGTGTGATAAGGCAGCAAATTACAGGATATTACATTTGACGTCCTCAATGTTTTAGCGGATTACTTCCGATGGTCGCAGGTTCGATTCCTTGCATTCATTCATGAGCATGATTGTTTGTTGATCATTGGGCTAGGTGTTTCTTAGGTATATTATGTATATATATACAAATTCACTAATTATAAATGTAACACAAGCTCTACTTAGCTTGGAACTAAATGGCGATGTGAATTTTCCTGGGTTTTCTATATACCAATACGTGAAGCAAAAACTTTGGATCCCAAAGAACAAAACTGTAATAATTATAAATAGTGGTAGTAATTTAACATTCCGTAAGAGTGTAAACAAATAATATTAAATACACAATATTAATCTATTCGCAATGAGATGACAGACTTTAAGAATAAACAAAAGAGTACTTTTATATATATTCTTTTATTTATTTCGTGTGCGTGTGTGCAAAATACATACTATTGTGTGCAATCTTATTGATTTATTAAAATTGAATTTATTGCTTTAAGCTATTCTTATTCATCTAAATATATATAACTCAAAGGTGACTGACTGACATAGTGATCTATCAACGCACAGCCCAAACCACTGGACGGATCGGGCTGAAATGTGGCATGCAGGTAGATGTTACGCCGTAGGCATCCGCTAAGATTTTGATTAATTCTACCCCCAAGGGGATAAAATAGGGGTTGAAAGTTTGTATGAAACTTTGTGAATTTTAAAACGATCGGGCTGAGACTTTACACGCGCAAAGCTACTATACGTAGGCATCCCCTAAGAAAGGATTTTGATAAATTCTACTCCTAACAAAAAAATTATTAACGCGAACGAAGCCGTGGGCAAAATTACTAGTTATTTATAAAATATTGGCACTTTTAACTGTTAGACCTACAATGAGAGTCACTGGCAGTTTTTATATTCTTTTATCCATATTCAAAATATGATGTTCTTTATATAATATTTATTTTATTATACTTCTGTCACTGCGCTCTGCAATAAAAGACGTCTGTTAAAACATCTATTTTCATTAATTTTTACTTTAACGACTAAGGCTTCTAAGGATATATAAATCTGTATAAATATTTTATATTTTATCTTTAGTTTGAAGTGAAACTACGCTCGCTAATAGTAAAAGACATATATTTCAAATTGACAATAAGAATGCAACAATAGAAAAATGGATTTTAAATATATATTTTAAAAATACAATAAAAGTCTAAGAACGTGCATGACGCACCTTCTTAGACTTTTATTGTATTTTTTACACACATTTTGAACTCCTTTTCTACATAAACTATAAGTAATACGAATGTTTACTCCTACATCCGCGCAATTTTCTTAAAAAATGGTATAAAGTTTTTGCTTCAGGAATTAATATATAGATAAATTGCATCTTAATAGAGATAAGTTTATGGTAAATTAAAGTATTTACCTCTCGCAACGTTTCGACTAGATTGTACTAGTCGTGGTTACGAGCTGACTGCAGTACAGCAATATCGATGACGGTACGTGCCAACTGTTTTGTCAACTACCGTTAATGTATTATCCAACAAAAAATCGCCACATGTATTAACGGTATCCCTCCACTTGTTGACTGATGCTACAGAACTTTTTTAAAACAATTTATCACGGGATTCTGCGTTGATGATAATTTGTTTAAATCAGGGAAGATTTAAGCAAATTATCTGCGCAGAATCCAGTGATAAACAGTTAAACAGTTGGCATTCATATTTTTTAATTACCCTAAAATTGTTTACGTGTTAAAACCCAATTCATTATATGTATTGAACACCAAAGTTTCAAATAACTATTTATCCTTACTAATATTATAATTGTGTAAGTAACTCTGTGTGTCTGTCCGTCTGTCTTCGCGCTTTTACGTTAAAACTACTAAACCTATTTAAATGAGATTTGGTATACAGGTGGTATAGACTCTGACAGGGTACTTTTTAGCATAAAACAAGTTTTATAAAGGGTTGTAATGAAATATTGTATGGAAGTATCGTCATTTTTAACGCTAGCAACTTGAAACTTATTTTTTAGGCTGTTGATTAAATATCTATGACATTAAAACAAATAGGGGGTGAAAGTTTGTATGGAAATTTGTTATTTTTGGAGCCCAAACGTTGAAACTTCTTTCCTCGTGATTTTTTGATAAGATTATTAAATATTTATTTATTCTTTATTTGGTCAAGGTCACCATTCCTCACAGACGAAATTACGGCCATAGCTAGTTATTTTTATTTCTGACTAACTAAAAATGTTCGAACACAGTTACAGATCAAAACTTTACAGACTGCGGTTGCATAGTTGTGGCCATACTGACCCTTGATAAAGAAGGTATGATCATGGCCAAAGATTGCTTGTACAGCGAGCCTATTATTGTTGAATATTTAAAAGTAAAAAATTTTACCCTAGTCACGAAGCCAAGAGTTGTGATCATTCAGGTAATTTTTATTTAATATTATAATATTATGTTGTGAACGTATGCTCCTGATAGGGTTTCCGGATCAGGGTCCAGATGTTTTCACTTGCTTTCACATACTTTTGCACTCAATTTGTTATTAATTCTCATTATAATTAGGAAAAGTCCGCGCGCGAGAGCCGCGGCCTGTACTGTCATAGGTAAGAAGCGAAAGTCGGGGTACAGAAACTATCGGGCTCTAAAAAAAACTGCGGGAAGCCACAATGTACATTTTACGCGGAGCAATGAAGGCGTGGAAAAAAAATACTACTATTATAATATTAATTCATATATGTATTAGTCTATAAGGTATTTATAAGAAGAAGAAATCAGAGTATATAAAATAGAAGAGGCAAATACAGTATATAAAAAAAACTTGAACTTCACAGTAATGCAAAAAGATAACTCAATATATTGTTTGTTCAGTGAAACAAACCACTGGTTTTCAGTTATTTGATCTACTTGCAAAGGCGGGAAATGAATAAAATATAAAGCTACATATTAAATAAAGGTTTGAATAATATATTTAAGAATACAACTGTTTGCACCGTGGGAGGTATCGAACCCGCGACCATCATAAGTAAAGCCGTGAAAATATTTAGACGTCATATATCAAATTTTGTATTAAAATTTTAAATTTAAATGAACGAATTAAAATACGAAATTTTAACTACTAAAATGTGGCCAGCTGTGACAAGAGTGGGTGGACGTAATATCTGAACGGCCATTTATTACATTTTAGGCTTGCCGACCTACACCAATCAGCAGGGATGCAACTCAAGATTTAGAGTCTCCTGTCGATGAAGGTGATATGAAAACACATGTTTCCTACAGTTTACCCACCGAGTCCGATATTTTGGTTCTACATAGCCGTTATGTTGGAATTACCAGGTAACAAGCCAATCAATCTATATAAACAAAAAAATTGTAGCATTTTCAATTATTAGTTGTAATTGTATTTATTTTTAAAAGTTACTCCAGAATATTTTTAACGTGAACTGATTTTACTTCTAAATCTGGTCAGATTGTTTATCTTTCCAGTTACTTTAAAAAAATATTGTTACTTTTAGTCAAATCATGCATATTTCCTGGTTTATAAAAATTCTCTGCGAAGCCATAGACAAACTCGGACCAACCAAGGATCTGGAATCAATTATAACAGTCCTCAATGGATTGGTACTCGAAAACAATAGTCAAGCCAATAATGGTAAGCCTGATATGAAGCTATTGACCACCAAAGGCATTATGCCAGTTTCCTACTCTACTTTGACAAGGTAAGAACATTCTTATATCTTATATAATAAAGCCTTTATTCAGATAAATATTTGTCATTTACATTTACATTTAAAAAAAACGAAGAATTCAGTCTTGTTATTGTTTCTTGCAGTATCATAACTATTTAACCATTCTGTCACGCAATGTAATTAAATTCGCTACATTTACATGTACGTGTTCATGCATGGGATTTTATTTATAAACTCTTTTATGGCCAAAACATCATACTCAAGAATTATACTAACAAGATATATTGATGTACAAAAGGCGGTCTTATTTTATCGCCTTTTGCAAGCTATCTCTTTGAGTAAAGAGAAAACGTTAAAAAAATGGTATGGCGCGTGAATAGCATAGTAGGAATATTCATTGAATGTTAGACATATATGTTAATAAATTGATATTGATAAAAAAGAAATTCAGTTGAGTTCCTTGCCAGTTCTTCTCAATTGCACATGTGGACTGAACTGAACCAAAAAAACGTTCACAAGAACTAAAAGATCCTACATGACTAGAGGTCAGGTCAGCCATCGTGACAGTTTCACTAGAAATTTATCATCATGCTTTCCAGGGAAAACCGCGTATTCTTATAGGTTATCAGATAATAACCTGATAACCCCCATTGCTAGCAATGAAGTGATCTAATGTGAACTGAATTACATCACTTCCCTGACAATCCCATTCCACTCGGTGACAACCAATTGTAAATTACTTTTTTTAATTAGTTTTTATTCAATTTTAACTCTCCTTTAACTTATTTAAAAAAAAATTGCTATTAGGTAACAATTAAACATTTTTAATCTTGTATTTATTAATATTATTATTATATTCCTTCTAAAGTCATTGGATTTTGTCTTACTTAATTATGATCACAATGTCACGATATTTATTTTTTTAGGAAATTATTCTTGAAAGCTTATGAAGCTAACTCATATGGCAGGGGAGATGACAGTTATGCCACTTTAAAACGTACAAATAATGAGTAGAACTTCCTACCAATAAAGATCACTACTCTCTCCTATCTGGTTCTATTGGACCCAATGAAACTCGGTAAGAATTTATATTTTTATGTGACTGGAATGGCAAACTTATCTGGTGGCCCTTCTAATTGTAAGTGGTAACTGATGAATGGCATATGAATATAATATCTTTGTATGTAAATTTGTCTCTGACTAACTCTCCAGAAAAACTAATCAATCCGAAATACGCCGATAAGCACATTCACTGCTGCGTTGTATTATAATGTTTTGAACAATTGATCTCGTAAAAAACATTAAACTATTATACTTATCTATATACACTACTAAACTATATAATGACAAATACTAATGGCAAGTAGTTCGCTTCGCAAGTGTACGCGGGAGGAGGCTCCTCTGAAACCGCACTATCCCAGACCACTTTAGTTCCAGCATGTGAGGAATTAAATAAATAGTCGTTTTAAAGTAAAGTTTGAGAGAATACATGAGTGAAAATTGCACCCAAGTCAGTTGAGACGTTTTTTAGATTTGTGCATAAAAATTGTCAGACAAAGATAATTCTATAAATCATGGTTTTGGGTTGTTTTACATTGATAAAGTTTTTATTTATTTTTTATTTTTTATTTAAACTCTTTATTGCACCAGACAAAGAAAACACACAAAATAATATAATACATAAACTGATACAAAAGGCGGTCTTATCGCTAAGCAATCTCTTCCAGACTACCAGTAGAGAAAGTAACATTAAGATAAGAAAATAGTAGGTGGTGCACGTAATGAACATAAATATACATTTGTACATAAATATATCTATTAATATATATAATAAAATATAAACATACATATACTTAATTAGTTTAATAGTTTTTCTCATATATTTTTCATGTACAGACAGCGATCAGATTTTTGTTATATGTGTACAAATATAGATTAACTCTAAGTAACTCCAAATTTCCATTACAGAAGACTGTCCCGAACATCTGGTCGTCGCAAGAGATGCAATAATGATACCCAGCCTCTTCATGAAGCAAAATATAGCATAAATGAGAATTTGAACCAAGCTAGAATCCGAATTAAAATATTATTAATTACTAAAGTACAAATATATGTTACAGAAAATCATTTAAAACATAATTATAGTGATATGGAGATAAGAGTCCTGAAAAACTAATTAGAAACTTGTTAGTAATAACACCTACAATTTTATCATATACAGATTTTATTGTAATATTTTGTTTTGTTAACCTTGTATAATCATTTTATCTAATTAAATTACTATTTAGGCTATCTAAAAACCTGTTCTTTGTTTGATAAACTCTTTTCTAATATTTCCCACTGCTTAAAATACAAATAAATAGAAATAGAAATAATCTTTATTCAAATAAACTTAATACTAGTATAAGCACTTTTGAATAGTCAAGTTTTTTTATTCAACCGCTCATTCGGAATGCAGATTCATCACAAGAAGAATAAGCAAGAAACTTGTGTATTGCTCTTTTAAAGAAATATTGATTTAATTATATTTAGATTAATAATAATAATAATAATAATAAAACTCTTTATTGTGTACACATAAAATAATGAGAAAATACAGTAAATAGTAAAATAATAACAAAAGGCGGTCTTATCGCTAAATGCAATCTCTTACTGACAACCTAGAAGAGAGGACTTATTTACATAGAATAGGGTAGGTGGCACACATAAGACACTATTTATTATACTACTAGATATACATACTTACATTAGGGATAAATATATAAACCTAAAAACTACATATATACATACATATATACTACATATTGGAAGAAATGAGAATAAAAAAAAAAATAAGTAAATAAAAAAAAAGATTAACAGGGGTTAGGCATGTGACAATCAACATAGAAACCGCTACGCTCTTAATTTCTGTTCAATCAGATAACATTGTCAGCGCTATGAATTTTAAGTAAATAATTTGTATAAAAACATTATTATCAGTTATAAATTATTCAATTTTATAATAAGCTTTTTTACAAAGAAAATCTTTTATAACACATTTGATTTTTTTCTGGCAAATTGAGTACAGACTTTGGTAGTTTGTTGTAAAACCTTACGCAATTTCCATAAAACGAATTACAAACTTTCGTCAAACGGGACTTAGGTCAAACTAGTTTGTTGACATTACGTAAGCTTTTATTAGTGAAAAAGCATCAAAAATGACGAATTTTCATACAACTTTCGTCCCATATTTTATATATGGGTATTATTTATGAGTATAATGTTTACAAACATTGAATGTTAAGTTTATATATATTTAATCATCAGCCTAAAAAGTAAGTTTCAAGCTTTTACCTTTAAAAATGATGATACTTCGAATAAATTTTTCACATTAGAAAGTAGCCTATGTCCTTTCTCAGGGTCGAGACTATCTGTGTACCAAATCTTATTTCAAACTGAATTTAATGCTGTACTGCAGTAGTTTATGCGTGAGAGTGAGACAGACAGAGTTACTTTCACTTTTATAATATTAGTAAGGAAGTAAGGCTGTACTGTATTTATATGTCTGACACAACACTGGGCTGAGTATATATATGTTAAGCCAGAGTTCTCGATAAGTTCACAAACTATACGCTGCATAACCATACCTACTGGTTGTCTATCACGAACCGTGCAATCATACCTCTTCTCTTTAACTATTGCCATTAAAACAGATAGACACATAGATAAGACATTTATTTCTTATAAATCACAATTACAGTTATAAATATGTGGATAACACGTATCAACATAGCATATAAAATAAAAAAAGGTCGTAAGTACAGTGTGAAAAATTTTCCGAGAATATAACCCTGATTTTAAGAGCAATAGAAATTACTTATACGGTCTGTTACGTGAGTGTTTAATATAATAATATGATAGAAACTTTGAATTCAAGTAAAAATAATAGTAAAGCAATTTAAACATATGTAGATAAAATAGTTATATCATTTCATAATCATTTCGTCAGATAGCGAACAAATAACTCTATCAATCGAGTGAACGAAGTGAACGAATCTACCAAACATGTGGGAATTCCCGAAATACAAAAGTATTTATTCGGCGTAACTTTATCAAAATCGTTTCTGTACAAATGCTATCTATAAAATATATCTAAGTAGAGGGAGTGGCTTTTAGTAACAGAGTTGATATCTCTCTTATTAAAAAGTTTTTGTTGATTTACTGGACACAAAATATTCTACCATAAGTGGTTATATCTGTTTAAATTACAGTCAAAGTGTTATTCTGAGGTATGTAAACTATATTACTGCCAAGTTCAAAATCTGTACAATAATATTTTACTGACCATTTAACAGTTGCAATTATCAAAAGATAGAAATAATGAAAAATCCCAATCAATTTTATTAAGTAACAACGAACAATAATAATCTAGACAAGCGGGAGCGTGTCAAAGCGGAATCAGGACAACGAGTAATAATCTCAGGACAATTCGCGCCATTTAGTCTCAAGTTAAGCTAGCTAAATATTGTTTTGCTACAAACACTAATAGATATGCTTTATTTTCGTAAATACATACATACTATACATAGAAAACACCCAGACCGATACAAACAATCATACTCATGAGTACAATTATTTGTACCGTGCGAGGAATTCAACCCGCGACCATCGGAAGAGAGCCGGTGAGCTAAACCGCTAGACCATCGAGGCCGTCAATAAGTAAACATACATTCATATATATTTACTTCATTGATAAAGTTTTTATTCATTGAATATATTGAATTTTAACATAAACATTTTCTTATAGCATACTTAAATTATTATTATATACAATATATATATTATTAACCACATTTTAGTAAATTCTATTTATATTTTTACAAATCTTATGAACTAGCATTGCCCGCAAATTACCGCCATTTTTACAAAGTTAGATGGGCTTAAAAAGAAACAGAGGAAAATACTATCTTATTTTATGGTATAAGTGCAATATAGACTATATAACAGCGTTATAAAATTAACCATTAGAGTCTAAGACATGCCTAATTCAATATCCATTTTACACAGTCACAAATCTATACATAGGTATATCTCCATAATGATAAATACTGTAATTATGTATTATTGTTAAGAATACAAATATAATGTCAATTTTGAACAGTCAATCTCTCAAACTTCATTTCGTATAGCCACAGCAAGCCCTGTAAAACAAAAAAGTGTCTGTTAGTCCATTCTTAAGCTACATCACATTTTCAGAGTGTGGAATATTTAAAAAGGTGACGCTCAGAGATCAGCTCTGATCACTACAACTAAATGATACGGGTTCAGCAATCTAATAAGTTAGCACGCCGGCCCCGGCGCCGCGCCGCCTTATTACCATGGTCACCAACCATTCGATCCTTCGCACGATGCAAACGTTTAGAAATAGAAAAAATCTTTATAGACAAAAAGTTAATACTATAAGCACTTTTGAATAGTCATAATATTTTTTTTAATATTTGGACAATACAACATTATATTGTTAGTTGCACTAGTGTTAGCCACTCACTAATGCTTCACAATGCTTCACTGTTGGATTGACTGGTAAAGATCTCTTAGAGATAAGTCTGTAGGCTACCAACCTCCTTGCATTAACTAGCCATATAACACAAACACATTTAATAAAAAGTATATTGTCAAAATGTCAAAATTCATTCGTTTGCAAATTACTGATATATTTAAATCAGTTGTTAAATTAATTATTATTTCTTATTTTTAAATCTGATATTATATACACCGTCATATATTCAATCTTTTATTACTATTCACTCCGTCTGTATATCAACACGCCAACCTAACCACAAGTGGACCTTTGCTCACTTTGTATATATAAATACTATATTATTCTACCACTCATTGGGAACGCAGACTCATCACGAAGAAAAAAAGAGAATTAAAACAGCAAGTTTCTTGGCAGAAATTTGCGTATTGCTCTTTTAATAAAAATATTATTCAGAATTATATTTTTTCGAATTTTGTGTGAATACAAACTGTAATTTTGTATTCATGTGTATGATTGTGTGTACTGGTCTATTTGTCTTCTGTGTATATTTTTGTTTACAAAAAAAGTATTAAGTATTTTTATCAGTTGTCTAGTACTTACTACACAAGTTCTGCTTAGATGGTGCTTTGTGAATTGTCGTGGCTTATTACAATTATTATTCAGTTACACAACCAACTATGTAAAATATTATATATTTACTGTAATTAAGTTTCCATCAGGTAGTATGAAATCGCACATATTTTGAATTAAAAATGCATATTTACAACATTTCCTGAAAAGAGCAATAGGCAAGTTTCTTACTCTCTCATTTTGGCTTAAACTTCATTCCAAATTAATGGTAGATTAAAAAATGTGGCTAATGAAAAATTCTTGAATTTTATTTTATTTCTTTGAAGATTTATATTCAAACCAATAATTAGCTGTGATAATATCATCCCCTACTCCCACTAGTACATATATTTTGTAAGATAATAAATTAAACATTATAATCATTCAGATCGAGTCGTTAAATACTTAGTAATAATTGCGTTTTAATACTAAAACATAGATTTTGAAATTTGACATCCCAAAACTTATGTCTCCTCCCAAATCTAATACATGGGCGATAACAAATTAATTATAGTTATCAATTTAATATTCCAATCTAATTATCGATTAATTCTCATGAATCAATAAGAATTTCAATATTGAATCGTAATTAATAATATTTCGGTATTGACGCTAATTAGGTATTATTCATGAAATTCGTTTCATGTTATTAATAAACTAGCTGTACCGACTTTATCCGGGTGGAATTTTATTTTATTTTTCTAAAATAAAAGTTATCTATTTTACTTCTTATTGGTAGAATGAAAGTACGACTATTCAAAAGCGCTTGTAATGAATTTATTTGAATAACGATTATTTCTATTTTTATTACATCAGCTACCTGCCAATAAAAGTCCCGTCAATATCGGTCCAGCCATTTCAGATATTAGCCGGAACAAACAAACAGAAAGATACACAAAAATTGTAAAAAATGTTATTTTGGTGTCTGTACCGTATTTATATTCATATGGATGGAGTAAAAAACTGTTATTTCAATAACACTCAATTTCCATATAACCTTCAATGACACTCCAATTTTATTTATATGTATTTAATGTATATACGTAATTTAAAGCTAAACATAAC